TTTGTTTAATAATCAAACCAATCTTTACTTATTATAAAATAAAGTTTTTTAAATATATATTTATAGTAATTTACATATCTATATTATTAAGAATATCATTATCAAAACTATTATATATAAAATAATAGCCTTATATATATTAATTAAACACTCTATATGTGAAATGTTCGTAATCTTTTTGTCCGCCTTTTCCGAAATTATCGTCATCTTCATCTTTAAAATTAATGCATTTATTTTAGTTTTATTAAAAATATTTTAAATGTTCTTGATTTAAATCAGTCAAGCATCTATCATTTGATTTAAATCTTTTTTACAAAATTAGTCCTTTCATTAATAAATTTCTGACATGTTTTCTAGGTGTACATTTTTCGTTTTATTTTATAATAGATTGATCACAGATTCTTTTTAAAACTTTTTTTATTAATATTAGTTTTTTAATTTATATTTTTGTATTTTATCTTTAATTTTTTTATTAAATAAACAATCGAAAATAAAAAAGGACGGAAAAAAAAACGTAATATGGCCTTTTTTTTTTTGATTGAGTTTTTTTAAAAAAAAAATAGAAAAAATAAAACATGCTAAAAAAATAATATTTTTTTAATTTTTTTTTATACAATCTTCTTTTTAGTTTAATAGTAAATATATAAGATTCATCGCAGTTTTTGTATATTTTAAATCTGTATATTCTATTAATTTAAAATAATCTTCAATCTTCTTTATAGTATTATTATTTATACTTTTTTTAAATAAAAGAAAAAAAAATTATTTCAGCAGAATGAATTTAAAAAAAGTTACGTGTACTTGTTTATTGAATTATCATTTGCAAATTTATAATAAATAAATAATATAATCAACAATAAAAATAATAAGCTTTCAATCATATTTTTTGAATTTTCTAAAATTTACCATAAAAACTTACTAAAATTACTAAACTTACTTTCAATATTTTTTTATTTCCCTTTCAAAAATATTACATCTTCATGATTTTTAAAAAACTTAAAATTTTAAATAAACAATTTATGTGAAATATTTAAAATTGTATATATTACTTATTCACTTTCTATTTCATTATTTTAATGTAGATTTTAGTCACTTTAAACACCTTTATCATATTTAATATTTAAATCCATACTTTTATTTATATATAATAAAAAAAGGTTCTTATTATATAAATAATTACTTAATTTTTATAAATAAAATAGGAGTATAATTTTTTATAGCTTTAAATATAGAAGGGTATAAAGAACTGAAAATTTCCATTTAATCAATTAGTACATTTCCACTTTCATCTATGAAAAATAAGTTTTGTGGGGAAATTCCGAAGTTTAAGCATAAATATTCCTTTAATTATTCAAATGTTTTTTATATTTTTGTATTTATTGGTATTTGCATGGCTTATGTATTATATATTATATTTATAATAAAATCATATTCTATATCTTTCGGCATTTTTTAAAAATCTGTACAATTTTTATCATGTATTTCATTTTCTTAATTTTTATTTTTAAAATATAATATTTATAATAATAATAATTATTTTTTACACTATTTTATTTTTATTTAATTATTTAAATTTTAAACATCATTTTATAAATAATCAAATCTACAATCTTAAAAAAAATTTCTTAAAATTCTTTTTACTCTTTAGTCAATTAATTATAATTATTTTGCATCGGAACTTCCATGTTAAATTTTGATTTTTTAAATATTTTAGTTTATTTAACTTAATTTTATTTCTTTTCCGTCTATAATCTTTTTTTATATTTTAAATTTAAGATTTTTATATTATTAAGAATATAATTTAAACGTTTTATAGTTGTTTAAGTTCTTTTGATAATTATGCATTTGTTATATCTAATTCCATTATTTCTTTATTTTTTTAATTTAAACATTCTATAGTTTTCATTTTCTCGTTTTCAGCACAATTTATTTCATTTTGAATTACTTATTAATTCCGATTCATTTTTTTTATAATAATAAGTAGAGAATATTTTTTTTAAAAAAATTTAAAAATTAATTTCAAAATATTTCAAAATATAGTTATTTTAAATATATAAATGAATTAAAAAAAATATATAATTATTCATATAACGAATATTCAATTTATATCATAATTAATTTTATATATATTAATTATATAAATATGATTTTATTAAATTTTTTGTATCTTAAATAAAATTATTAACAATTTAATTATAAGCTAATTCTAAAATTTAAAAATTAACACATTCTTCATTAAAAGTAAAACTTATATCTTATGTATTTAAATCTATTACTAAACTCATTTATTTTTTCTTTTTTTAAATAAAATTTAAATAAGATATATATATATATAATTAATAAAATTGTTAAACATGTGTATTTGTTGATTAAGGAGTAAAAAATTAAATTGTTTATTCATTTTCGGAATATGAAAATTCATATGCAAAAGTAGTTTGTTTTAAAGAAATTCCATTTTGTAAAAGGGCTATGAATGCAGAATTATATAATGTAGAAAAAAGCTATTTTTTTTTTTAAATATAAATAATTTTCATAAAATTTTTACGTTTCCATCATTAGTTAATACATTTAAAACTATTTTTATATTTTTTCCTGGATAAGCTTCTAATTTTATATTATTTTCTAATGAATTCTATAATAATAATTCAATATATCTTTAATATTTCTATTTTTTTTTATTTCAAACTTAAATTTAAATTTAAATTTGTTACTTAATCTCCTTTAAAACCCATTTTAATTACAATTTCTAATATTCCTTCTATTATTTTTATTTTTAATTGAAAATTATTATATTTTAAGTACTTTCTGATGCTTTTTATTTTGCTGTTGGTTAAACTCCATATATTGTTGCTATAACATTAGATTTTCCTTTTTTAAATTTAATTTATGTTAGCTATTTAATAATGAAAATTAGTTCTTTTTACCAATAAATAAACGAACTTATGAATTATTTATTTAATTTTAAATATTTTAAATTGAAAATAAAGAAAAATCCATTGCTAAAAAAAAAATATATTTTTAAAAGTAAAATTCTAAATATAAAATTATGAAAATAAAATAATTTTATCTTAATAATTAATTTGATTTTATATATAAATTATGCATTATTAATAAAAAAATATATACTTATAAAATTATTTTTACAATCTATATAAAATATATATTTTTCTTTTTAATGTAAATTTTATTTAAGAATAACAATTTGATAAATATAAAATAAATCATACAAATAAAATAATAAATAAATTTACATATATAAAATAAATATATATTATATTTTTTACATAAAGAAAATAATGGAAAACTAGGAAAACTATACATAAAATTTAATTTCTTAAAATTCTAACAAAATATCATCTTTAACAGCATTTAATACTGCTTTTAACGTATTATTAGGTTCCGGCCCTATATTTATACCTCCTGTATTTTAACAGCCTGGATTATTATTAGCAATTTCATTCATATTAGTAATAGGATTTATAAGTTTTATATGTGCAGAATATGTAATAGAAAACATATCATTACTAACCGCAATTCGTTCTAAGAAATAAAATATTGAAAAGTAAATATTGAGTCAAAAATAATAATCAAATGCAATAAATATAGATAGAGATTTGCATGAATCTTCAATAACAAACTTAGAAAATAAACAATATGTTCAAGAAATGACAGAACTATAAATTTTTGAAATTAAAGAGGCGATCGAATATGGGTAAATGGGATAAGAAATATTCGGAAAATGGGGAAACACTATGGCTTCGATATTTTTGGTAATTTATTTAGTGGGAGTTTTAGCCTCAAAAACAATTGCTACAGGATCTGTTTTGGCAAATACTTTTTCTGAAATCAATGTTTTGAATGAAAGTAAATTTTGGATTATACTATTTTTTTCTATTTCAGTAATTTTCTCCTTTAGTGACGTTTCGAAGACTAAATTTCTTTAAAATATTATTATTATAGTAAGATTTGTTACTATTGCAGCACTTTTGGTAGGTTCATTTGTTTTAGCTTAAAAAAATGGATATCATTCTTTGACAGAAAGGGATAATGGAATTTTTGATGTGAAAAATTTTAATAGTTTCTTTAGTAATTTGTAGTTTGGGTTGCTTATGCATCATTCAATTCCTTCTATATTATCTCCTATTAAAAGATAACAAGATATAAAAAAAATTAATTTTTTGGCTTTTGGGACTAGTTCATTATTATTTATTGTTATTTCATTAACTTCTGTAATAGCTTTTGGTAAATGTATAGATTCTTCAGATAAATTTGTTGCTTATTGTAAATAAGATAATATCTTGACTAATGATAGTTATTATAATAATTATTTCAAAAGCGATCTCCCTGGTGTATTTTATATTGCCAGTTTTTACATTTTTTTGAATGTGGCGGCTTTTCCTGTTTTAACAATTACTTCAAGAAATAATTTAATGAAATTATTAGCTAAAAATAAAATCCCAAAATGTAGTTATTAAATTACTATGTGGACATTTTTGTTTACTCTGATTATTGTTTTACCAATTATTTCTATTGCCCTTTTTACCAAAAATATCTAGCTTGTCTTAGATTTTACAGGAGGGGTATTAGGGACTATGTTGATGATTATTCTCCCTTGTACTTTTGTGATTTTTAGTAGAAAATAAGCGAAATAATTAGGAATTGAATATTAGAAAAATCCACATATGGCATATTTTAAGAGTTAAATTTTGCCCTATCTTTTGATTGTGTAAGGTTTCTTATTCCTAGGATTTAGCTTGAATTAAAGTATTATGAAATATATTAAGTGAACGGAGAAATTTGATAATTATTATTTTATTTATAATTAGAATGTATTTAATAAGTTTTTTTTTTTTTTTTAAGTAATATTAAAAATAAATGATACATTTTTCTTTAATCTTTAACCATTAGTATTTTTATAAAAAAAAAAAATAAGAAATATTAAATAACATAAAACTAAAAATAGATAATTTTTAGACATATGTATTTTCTCCATATCTTCTTCATAATTCACTCTAAGAATTAGATTCGAAACTAATCATTTCAATATCGAAAATAAGGTCGGCATTAGGTCCAATGATTTGACCAGCTCCTCTTGATCCATAAGCAGTTTAAGATGGACAAGTAACTGAAACATGATCTCCTATAGTCAAATTAGAAACAACTTCGTCCCAACATTGAATAACTCTTCCTTACCCTACATTAAATACGAAAGGTTAATTTCTGTCTCTTGAGCTGTCGAATTTTTTTCCATCGAGTAATGTTCCAACGTAATTTACTATTACTTAATCGCCTTTTTTAGGATAGTGGGAGTAGGTTCCACTTTTTAAAACTTCGATTTTGTATTTTTTAAGTTCAGGAGCGTCTTTTTTTAAAGAAAATGCAATTGTAGCTAAAATTAGGATAACTAAAATTATGTATTTCATATTTTTTTTTATATTGTATCTTTTAATTTAATTTTATATTTTTTAAAAAAATATAATGTAGAGTTATAAAGTATAAATAAAAAAAAATATTTATCGGATATATTAATTATTTTTTAATAAAATAAAATAAAAATTATAATTTACTTTTAATATAAAAAATAAATATGTGGAATACAATTACACAAAATAAAATAGTTGAATATCGTTTATAATTTATGGTTTTTATAAAATAATATATATTGAAATATAAAAAATACAAATACAAAGAGGTATTAAAATCACCTGAATACAATAAATAAGGTAAAATCTTCAATTAATAATAAAAATCCTTAATAGCCAATATATTTGCGAACTAATCATAAACAATAAGTAAAATTAAAAGGTATATATATAAAAATACAATAAATAATAATATTTTAATAGATTGTATAGTTTATATTATTATTTTTTAAAAATTTAAAAAGAAAAATTAGATTAAATTTCATACCAAAATCTAATTTTACTCCGGAAAATGATTAAAATTGAATAAAACAGCTCAAAATTAAATTATTTAGAATTAGATAAATTATATAAAAAAGTACATATTAATAGTAATAGTATTATAAGAAACAATTAAAATAAAGAAACTATACATTAAAATAAAGTAATATTTTATTTTACTTTAAATATATAAAAAAAAATATTTAATTAAAAAATTTAAATTTATTTTTTATTAATATATAGAATATTTTAGAAAGATTATAAAAAGCAACTTCATCATATTCTTATTTAAAACTTTAAAAACATAAAAATAAAGATATTTATGCTATAAATTAAATTTCTTAAAATGCAAGTTTTTATTATATAAATAAACACGTATAATATTTTTATCAAATTTAGGAAGGAAAATACATGTAGATTTTAGTAATGAATCAAGATTTATCAGAAGTACTGGAAATTTATTTATTAATTAAAGTATATTTATATATGATTGTGATATTATATATTTTTTTTAAAAAAAAGTTAAAAGAATAAATTCAGCAAATGCTTGTTTATAAAAAAGAAATTAAAATAAAATAAAACATAAATGCTTTGATAATAATATCTACTCGTGAAATAAGAAGATAAATTTAATATTTTTATATATTATTAATATTGTATTATAATTTTTTATTTATTAAACTAGTACTAAAAAACAATTAATTATAAAATAAATATTTTTTTATCTTTTATTTAAATTAGTTTACCAAAAATGTTATCATTTTTTTAGTTAAAAAAATTATTAATTAATATATATAAGAATTTTTTTAAAAAAACTCATAATTAATAATTATAATAATAATCAATTGTATATTTGCATTTTTATTAATTTATTAAGTATTATGCTTTTTTATATATATTTTAAGTTATTTTTGTTTATTATATATGTTCTTAATCTATTTTAAATATTTTTTTTATTCTATTTATAGATTTATTGATTTGAGTTTAATTTTTTAAAAATATATTTTTAATTTTGATTAAAAAAAATATTAAAATTAAGAATAAATTCTAAATTGTAAAAACATAAAAATATATATAATGATAAATTTAACTATTTTTATGGTTTTTTTATAATTCTTTATTGGAAAATAGTTTTCAAAGATATTATTAATTGTAAATATAACTTATTTTATAATAAAAGATGTTCCTAAAAATATAATTTTTACTCCTTAATTTATGTAAGATTATTTAAATTAATATTTATTTGAAAAAATACCCCACGATTAGCTTTAAATAATAACATTAATAAATGGATTATGCTATATTGTGATAAGTTTTATGCTTAAAATTTAAAAACTAAATCCTTATATTCCTAAATAATCTATAAACATATACTTTATTGCTTAAAGTATTAAATTAATTATATTTTGTTTAAAATAAACATTCTAAAAATATGAATATGCTAATTGTTAAAAAAATATATAACAATAACATCATTCTGAAAAATATTATTTGCAAATTATAGAATTGATAATTTGGATTGTAATTATATATATATCAATAAAATTAGAAAAAAGATTTTTTATAATTTATTTTTAGTAATATTATCAATAATAGTTTACAATATAATATATAAATAATGCGATTTTGATGTGAATGACTAAATATTTTCCAATGTTTTTTTCTTAACGCTAATTTTTCATTAAATAGCTTAATTTATTCTTTTTAAATATTCTTTTTAAGTTTTATTGAAAATTATATTATATTTTTGTATTTTTAAGAGGATTCTAATATTATTATTTAAAATAATTAAACTGATTAGTTTAAAACATTGATGCTTTTTTGGGTTTTTCAAATTTTTTTGGAAGCTTTTTTGGATTAAAAATGCTAGTTTCATTAAATTTTTATGCTTCTTTTTTATATAAAATTGATAAAAATAACTATAATTTTAAATATAAGCCTATTTTTATTGTTTTGTTAAGTTTTGGTATATATTATTTAATTAATTCTATTTAAATATAAATGAAATTAATACCATTATTGATAATATTTATGTCTACAGGGTTGAATATAATAATTTATATAAAAGACAATTTCGAGAAATTTAATAATTAAGTGTTTTTTTTTGTTTTTTAAGTTTTTTTTTGCACCCAGTTTTTGTCTTCTTAAGTTCATGTTTTTATTTAAATTTAAATAAATAATATGAAGAAGAGGCTTTTCATAAATTTTCTTAATAATTTTTAGAGGATTATGATCAAAGTTTGTAAGTTTAATTAATAGAACCATAAAAAAAATTGCCTATTCAGTATTTTTTAAAAAGGAAAAATAATAAAAATATTTTGGTTGAAATAATAAATCAAAATATTACAGAAAATTATATAAGGAATATGTAAAGTGAAATAAAAGAAAAATTAAAAAAATTAGATAAATAAAAAATGGGTATTTTATTGAATTTTAATAATTAGTAGGTTGATAGTTCTAATTCTGTAAGATAAATTATTAAATTTTTATATTGGCTAAAAAATATTGAAAAGTTAAATGTTTTTATTATTGGGTTGTCTGATATATTAGCCGAAGATCTTTATTTATATAACGATAACCTTTTTTAAGCTAATTCTATTTTTTTGGAGGTCAATTGATTATTTTTTTATTAATATATATTTATCTTATTGTATTATTATTTTTTTATAAAAAAAAAAAAATTTTTTCTAAAAAATAATTTAGAATTTTCGAATACATAAATTAAATTAAATTACTTTTATTTTTTTATTATATAATAATATAAAATATTATCAAATTATTTGATTTTTTTATTTACAAATAATATTAATATTTCTAAATTTATTTTTTTACAAATTTTATTATATCTTTATGGTTGATAAAAGCTAGTTTTTAATAAAACCGGATTTGATACCTGAAATCGGTAATGAGTAACTTTTGGGAACTTATAAAAATGTTAGATTTTGGGACAAGTAAATTCTAATTCTTAGAAAAACATATATTTAAATTAAATAGAAAAGCATAAATTTAAGTTACTGATTTAGATCTTTAAATAACTACACATAAATTATTAGCAAAATCAAATATAAATAAGAATTTGGCATTTATAATATTGTTAGAAAATTTAATAGAACATAAAGAAATAGTATATTATATATTTAATAAAATTAATAAAATATTGAAAATAAATATTAAAGTGGGAAGGAATTATAATGTTTAAAAAATTAGTTGCGTTTAAAGTTAAATATTATAATTAAACAAAAATAGAATTTAGATTTTAAAATGGCTTAACTGATGCAATAGCATAACTTAGGGGTGCTTTAAATAGAAAATAATGGAAGTATATTTAAACATAAAATATAATTAAATTAATTTCTTTAAAATAGATAAGATCCTTCTGTAAAATAATTTACAAATTAAATAGATAAAGTTTTAGCTGGAAATGTTTATACTGGGATGAGTATTTTAAATTTTTAAAAAATTATATATAAATAATTGTTAAGATTAATGGGTTAAATAAGAAGAAAATAAATAAATTTAATAAAAAAGTGTATTAAATAACACTTTTTAAAAAGGAGATTTATAAAGTTTATTTTAAAATGCAAAAGAATTGAGAGAAATAAGCGAATATTTAAAAAAAAATATAAACTCTTATGATAAAACGAGAGAAATATCAGAGGCTGATAATATATTAAATGATCTAGGATATTATTAAATAATTTCAAAGTAATTATAATTTAAATGCATACATTTATTTATTTAATAACAAAAAAATAGAGAAGAATCAGGAAATAGTTATATAGATGATTTAGCAAAATAAATATATAAAATGTGTGTTGATTTATTCCCTAAATTAGGATAAATTATAAGTCTTTTAGATATATACTATTTCATTAATAAAAAAAGGTCTACATGTTTATTAAGTGCTGGGGAAGTCTTATAGGCTTGTCAAAAATTTTAATAATTAGGATTTAATGCAAAAGTTAATGAATATGATGGAATCAAAGTCATTGAATCAAGTAATTTTATATAAAAATTTTATTTATTTTTTAAAATAAAATAAAGCCACATATAATGAAAATGAAGATTTTTAAAATAATATAGGAAAATATATTAGTTATGAAATAGGAGTTACAGCTGAATAATTAGCTAAAAATTTAAAACTATCAGTTTAAGTTACAAGAATTAAATTAAATGTATATTTTTAATAGTGATTTTGTAATAATGTTAATATTTATTTTTATTTTTTAGAAAGCTATGAGTATAGGAAAAGTAATATTAGCAGATAGAATTGAAGGGAAATCATATTTTAAAAATATTATTTTGGATTTAAAATGACTTTATTTTTGATTCATTATTTTAAAAACTTTATTTTTGATTCATTATTTAAAAAAAAAAAATATTAAGAAAATATAAATCTAAAAAAAGATTAAAAATAAATATATATTAATTTATATTTTAATAAAAAAAGATATTATAATACAAAGTTCAAAAATATATATTACTTTTTAGCATTATTATTTTTTATATTATTTCTTTAATTTTTTTAAATACAAATTTCAATCACTAAAAAAATATGAGAAAAATTAGATTATGGCCTTTTTTATTATTGAATTTTTAAAAAATACAGAAAAAATAAAAATCTCTTAAAAATTAATATTATTTTTCTTTTTAATAAATTTTTTAAAGAAATATCATTTTTTTTATAATATAATTAAAAAATAAAAAGATTTATTTAAAAAATGGAAATTAAAAAATAGATTAAAATATGTATGTATGGAAAACCTAAAAGTGGCAAACAAAGTATAATAGGAAAATATGTTTATGATAATAAAAAAACATTTAATATTTTTATAATGATATAATTCATATACAAAATGTATACCTAAACAATGAAAATATTGTTGATTTAATTATTTATAAAATAAACAAATATACTGATATTGCTATATATACAGATAGTTAATCTTTATTTTATTATGTTATTGACTTAACGTTAAAAGAGAATTAGGATGAATATGAGAATGTTATTTCTACTGTATATAAATATAATATTCCTATTTTAATTATAGGAACTAAAATCGATTTAGATCATTAAAATATAAATAGTAGTATTAATGTTTTGGAATAAATTATGCAATAATACAGTTAAAATATTAAATTTATTTAGACTAGTTCTTATTTAAGTAAAAATATTTCTGAAGTATTTTAAAAATCTTTTGAATTAAATTAAATGAATATTAATAAATTTATTTTATAATAAAATTAGCTTATTTATATTAAGTCTAAATAAAAAGAAATGTAAAAAAACATTTATTATAAAAGTTGTTTTTGAGTTTTTCATTAAGTATATATTTAAGTAATTTAAACTTTTTTTAATTGTAAAAAAGTTAAAGATTTATAAAAAAAAAAAATATTTTAATTTAAATTATTAATATCTATATTTTTTTATTAAAAAATAAAATAAATAAATATATTTTCTAATTATAAATAAATGGAAATAAAATATGAAAAAAATATTATTTTTAAAATATATTTATTATACAAATAAATTAATATTAATAAAAAAATTACTAAAATTTTATATATATTTAAATAAAATATATATATATTCATATATTTATTAATTAACAATTTTTTATTAAAATATATTTATACTTGAAATCAATTTTTTTTTTTATTTTATTAAATAAATAATTAAAAATTTTATAATTTGATTGAATTATTATTAATAATATACTTTCTAATATAAATCTTTATTTTAAATAATATATGTTACTAACAATTGTAATTTGTTTAAATAAATAGAATTATTTTTTATTTGTTTCATAATTATTCTATCTTTTATTTTGTCTAAATGTAATAATTATACATTTCTAATGCCTATTTTAGCAATTATAAATAATTAACATATAATTAATAAATACTCTATTATGATTCTAAATAAGAGAAAATATTTAAATTTTTAATTATTATATTATTTATATTAAATACATGCTTTAAAAAAAATTTGGTTATATTTTTTAAATTTGCATTATTTTAATATACCTCGTTTAGCTATTATTAAATAATTAATTTAAATATTTATACATTAAATGATACTTTCTTAATTTTAAATAAGATATATACTAAATATTGTAATATTATTAATTGATTATACCCACTTTTTATAAATAATT